AATTTTTAACAACTTGTGCTGCTCTTCTCGGGCATCTAATCACTGGGTTGTGGTTTGTGGCCAGCGGATGTGCCACATGTGCATCATCCGAACAACACTTTGTATAGATTTTTGGTTAGTTCTGCAGATAAAGCAGAGACAAGCAATAAAAAAGGACACGCTAGCTTCAAATTGCTGTGCCAACACAACAACAACAACAGCAACAATAACTGCAGCTACAGCAACAAAAAGTAATCCACAAAGCGCACAAATTGCAGAGCGCAGTTGAAGGGAAAAAGGATTGTGAGCCTCACACACACACGCACACACACGCACACACATATGAACATTTTTAAAAACGTGTGCTCAAAATTCAGAAATAAATCCCAACATGTGTGCGTGTGTGCAACCAAATATGCAAAAACTGTGAATTTGTATTCAATTTTCGGTCAGACGCACAAACTAAACAAATGAAAGTCCATACGTATATCTGTACACTTGGAAAAAAAAACTATTCTTTCAAAATCGTACTCTTAGAAAATTGTCATTTCAAGCAAACAGGAGACGATTTATAAATGGAATTCATTTTTTAAAAATTAAAATCTTTAATTTATAATTAATAAGTCGCTTAGAATTAATTAAAATTATAGATAGGCCTAGGTGCACCTAAACTATAGCGACTTCGTCTTACAAAATACAATAAAATATAGATATTTACTGAAATGCGGATTGAACAAAATTTAAATTCCCCTTCATTAGAAAGAAATAAAAAAATTCTTTGAAATTCATATACAGATAATTTTAATATTATATATTAACATTATAAATATATACTATATTCTTAAGCAAACAATTTTATTACAAATAGAGACTCCTTAGATGTAGATTGTACTTTTTTATTTATTATTATTTTATGTATAATATTTGTTTATTGACTTTTTTTAATATTTGACCGTTTTTAGTCTTTCAAATAAACAGGGAGTTAACAAGTTTTCTTTCAAGAACCAAAGCTATTGGAATTTTTGCGTTTTTTCTATAAAAAATATAATTACAGAATCCATTTCGTATGACTACAATTTATAGTTAGCTCAAAGGTTAGCATATTTCAAATATTATAAATTTACTCTCAGTTTTTATATATAGTATTTAAAATATATATATTTTTTTTTGAATATAGAAATTCCGTCTAAATTAAAACATCTATAAATCATTAAAAAAAAACTTTATTTTATTATTTAATATTTATGTTTTTTTTTTTTAAATAGGAAGTAAACGAAACTATTTGTTGCTTCGGCCTAAATTATAAATGAAATATATATGTTCTTTTTTCTGAGTGCATATAGGTTTGTTTGTGAATAGAAAAAGTGAAAGCAAAAGAACCGAACAACTTTGAAAGGCGCTATGTAAGCTCTGGGGCCAGTAGGGCAGCTGGTTACCGGCTGGACGCAAGAATATGAGGGTGGGGATAGGGTCTAGGGGTGGGTGTAGGGGTTTCGATGGTCAGTTCGACAAGCTAGCGACATTCTGGCAACAAGCAAGTGAGCGAGCAAACTGACAACGCAGCGCATTTGAAAATTGATCACCGGAACATCCGTGCGCTGACCGGAAATGCGCAAATGCAATTGCATTTCACATGGCGCTCTGCATTTGATTTATACTGACATAGGTGTATGTCTATGTGTGTGTGTTTGAGTAGGTGGATGAGTGTGTGTGTGTGTGTACATATGCATATGAATAAATGTTTTGGGTAAATCCATTGTAGGACCTTTGAAAAGTTCTGCTGTCGCATTTACAGTCCATAGTTGACAAGTTAATGACTCTTTAAAGCTTTTTAAAGAACTAACATACGCTTGCTGATTTCCCCAGCGTACAATGCTCAAAATATGTGTTGGGCCGCACAAAGGTAAATTCCCCGCCGTGCAATTGAGGCTGACGGGATAGTAACTGGGATGCCCAGCGAAAGATATACGAGAGGCAGTGTCCATTTATCACAGCCGCAACGGCGACTCAAGTTTTGTTGTAGCCTTGCGGAATATGGTGTTTAGATCAAATTAAAGCTTTCCAGAACTGAAACAAATATATCTAAAGACAACGGTTTTTTGCGATTTGGGTGTCCACGTTGTTGAGAAAATGTTTCCGCTATTAGGTCCTTCTAATCTACGATATCTGTTCATCGTAGATTAGATCGCAGCCATTGGTTACCTTGTCTCTTAGAAGTCCATATTATCTATACTCTTTGGTGTAATCAGGATGCCTTGAAAATATGAAAAATAATAATAATTTAAAAATGTTTTATAAAATGATTTACTTTCTTCTGTATTTTTGAACGTGCTCCCTTCTGCTGGGCTGTGACTGAAATAACTTTTTAAGAAGGCTTGGATTCGTATTACTTGCTTTGGGGGTTTTTTTTTAGGCTGAGCATGTAAAAAAAAATTGACAAAAAATAATTAATTTTGTTTACCAATTAAGGTTTAGACTGACAAGCAGCTTGACAAAAAAAAAAAATAAAATATGGTAGAAGAAACGAGAATAAAATAGAAAATTAGAGAGAAACTTTAACAGAAAGAAAAATACAAATTTAAAAGAAAGAAATGAACAAATTGAATTGGCAAAACAAGTTGGATAATCTCTGTCTCTGGGCGCCAACTAATTAACCATTCCGGCTAGTTTTTCCGAAGAAAAAATTCTGTTGAAAGTGAAGGCTTTTAATGAAAATAGATAGAGAGAGAGAGAGAGAGAATTGAGAACAGGTGGCAAAGCGAATTAAAAAAAATGCATATAAATAGAGGAATATACTCGTATTAATAAGATTTCTAAATGCAAAGTTTCCCATCCGGAAAGGATTTCAATCATATGCTGCGGGATATACACAATCCGTGACTTTGTATCTATTTCTATATCATTTGCAAGCTCTTGTTGCTGTTCTCTTTTGTCTGCAACAACAGCAATTTGGTTGACAATAGCGACAAGATGTTTAATTATGTAACAAACATTAAGCAAAGTGCTATAGAGTCGCTTGGAATGCGCTGTCCACTCCCAGAGCCACACACACAATGCAACTTGTCTGCGTTTAAGTGAACTTTGCATGCTCCCAGAGCGGTCTATGAAGGGCGGAGGAGGAGGGCAGGGGCGAAGCGAGGCCAAGCTAAAGCGAAACTGCAACAACGGGAAAGAGAAAAGGTAAATAACACTTTGGAGCGCTGAAGGCGGATTGCTGGCAAGTTCTACACAGCCGTCGCTTCACTTTGCCTTACAAAGTTTTCACTAAAGAACTCTCAGATTTATTTCAATGCGCAGAGCCTGAGGTGAAAAAACAGCAGCATCTGAAACAAAGCACGGCATCATCCTCAGCATCAGGAGCTGGAGACAGGCTGCAAAGACTTTTGAGGCAACTTAAGACAAACGCACGTTCCTCGCCCTCATAAAAAAGTTGGCCATAGTCTGAGAGACGGACAGGCGGACAGTCAGAGTATGCAGTCAGGCAGTTTGCCTTAAACTGTGTCAGTTTCTGCGTTCAGTCAGAAGAAAAATAATAAGCAGAAGGAGTGTACAGATAGTTGAGTTGAGTGTTGGTTAGAAAAGGAAATTTATGTTATTTTGCCAAGTGGTTGCAAATATTTCCCAAAGTAATATGCAAAAATGTGTAAAGTAAAGTAAAGTAATGCAATGCCAAGCCAAGCCAAGTCGAGTCGAGTCGAGCCAAGTTATTTATTTAACTACAAAATTTACTTAAAGTTGGCGGACTGACAACGACGACAACACAGAGTCAGTCAGAAGGCAGAGAAGCATTCAATCTTCATCACCATTGTAAACTCATTTGCATGCAACATGACAACAACAACAAAAACAACAACAGCAAAATAAAGTTGCACATAAATAATGCCCTTTGCCACTTTCTGGGCACATTCTGCACATTTTTATGCATCCTTGGAGGATTTGTTGTGCGTCAGCCAAAAATGTAATTTTCGACACGCGCTTCGGCCAATTGCCGCAAAAATTTGCATCACTTTGAAAAGTTGAGCCGCAGAAGGAAAAAGCAGACAAAAGAATTTACTTTTAATTAGGCAACTGTCAACGGTTTGAGTTACGTGTGAATTCCATGCCCCCCCTCCTTCCATCTGCCCCTCTACCCATCTTCCAGCTGCAAACTTTCATTGAAATCTCATTAGCATACCACAATGCCAAAGACCACAAAAGTGCCACTTCCTCTGTTGCTGTTCCAGCCTCGGCATTCTCGCATATGTTTGTTTGATGTGAATTTGTACATATATACTATATATTTATATAGTGTGTGTGTGTGTGTGTGTGTGTGTGTGTGTCTGTATTTCGCTCTGTGCGGTTTCCTGTGAATTTATCCGTCTAAAGGCCGAAAGCGTGCATGGCACGAAACAACTTTCTGTAATTAGTTTGTACACACTGCCGACTATTATTGCTTCAGAAGTGTAAACCAGAGTGTACACACTTATATCCTCACATACATATAACACATATCGAGTTTATGGCAGCCAATTAATTCTGAGAATACAATAGAGTATAAAAGTATTTATTTAAAGTAAACAGGAATTTCGAAATATTATTTTATTCAAAATAATCACCTCAAGAAACATTTCGATTTCGACTATTATTGTTTCATAATTCTAAACCAGAGTGTACACACTTATATCCACACATACATATACACACACACAAGTATAACACATATCGAGTTTATGGCATTCTCATTCTCATTCTGAGAATACAATAGAGTATAATAGTATTTATATTCCAAAGTAAACAAGACTTTCTAAAAAGAACACAGAATATATATTTTCACAAAATAAGTTTATTTTATTCAAAATAATCACCATTACAACGCATTAAAATGTTTTGTTGCATTGAAGATATTTCATGCCCTTACCATTATCAAGTGTTGCCTCATCAAGTAGTTCATGCTTCCTGAAAAACATTTGAGCCAAGCTGTCAAAGCAGAACTGTCAAGTGAGAAATGGCTCGAAAAGAGGAAATCAGTCACAACACAGCCCTGCAGCTGACCGGTTAGACAAAAAGTAAAATAAAAATAAAATCGAAAACATTATTTTGGATTACCTGTACCATGTCGTCGGACGATTTGACGGTGCAGGACGATATGCCGACGGACGGATTGAAATCCTTTCAGGGCATGAATGACTGTTTGCTGGAAATTGGGGCATCCCTTAAAACACACAAGGCAAGGAGGTTCAGGCCCGCATCAATATTCTTGCGGGGCGGTGATTCCCTACCTGATACGGACTCCAACTGCGAACAGATTGATACGAAGAAGAGAAGAAAACGTAATCGCTCTCTTTCTAATGGAAGGGGTAATGTAAAGAAGTATCCGAAGCTGAACCGAAGCGCTTCAACCTAAAGGTAGTGTAGGCATTAAAATGATAATTTATATCGATAACTAAGAAAGCTCTTCTCTAACAGACTTTACCAACACTGTCCAGCTGTATCACAGAAATCACTAAGCAGATGTACAGATTTGTGTCTTTGAGCCAATAACTATTATGTTTTCAACAGCAATCAATAAAGTATTATAAATAGGGTCAAAGTAAAATAAATGCTCAAAACTCAGTCAGTGGTTACACAATAGATGTTGCTATAATTCGCGTAGTCTTTGCTGTCAATCGGATTTGTTGGCCATCTTCTACAACACTAAATTCCTAGTTTGTAAATTTATCTGGCAACCAAACAATTGCTTGTGAAAACCTAATAAATAAGCCATGGTGTTTATGTTTTAGTTTGAAAAAGCAATGCTTTATATATATATATTTTTTTTTTTAACAAGAAAGTAAGTTAGTTTTTCGTTTACTGTTAAATTAAATCTAACCATTGTAGCTACATACAAATCCGATCTTCCGTTGAAATAGTTCGCTTTACATGTGGTTAGATCCTGTGGATAGTGCTGAATTTTCTTCGATTGAAAATTCTTATTTTTTAAAGATTTTCTTGAATATCATTAAAGTTTGCAATGATTTGATGATTTGATGCGATTCATACGGTTCGTTTTTAAAGGAATTGGCGGGCTGTCTGGGTTTTATATTTGGTTCGTTGCACAACACTACTCCAAAAGAGAGAGTTCTTTGAAAGAATCGAATTATGCATCATGAAAAGAATTGTGTAGTTGGCAGAAGCTTTTGACTTGTTCTTCATTTATGAATGTTTATTGCTTTAAGGTAAAAGTTGGATATACTATATCTAAATCAGCTTAGATAGTGCATCCTATATTTAGCCCAACACTTGCTTATCTTTAAAGTAAGTCAAATCAGCTTGTTATCATCGATATTTCTTGAACTGTTTTAAACTGGAAATAATATACCTAAAAAAAATATATAACTTGATGCCTGATTCATGAAATGATTTCTCGCATAAACTGTAAAATACAGTGCGCGTTTCTTGTAAAATGCCAAAGTTCGCTGCTCATTGGAGTAAAAACTCATGCTACGGAGCAATTCAAGTGCGATGTCGACTATAAAATTGCATATCGAGTTTTTTGAGCTTTTGTTACTTTTTGAACTTTTGTTGTTGCTGTTGGTTATTGTGGCTGATGCTAATATTGATGCTGCGCCTGAATTGTTGAATTGGCTCTTTTTTGTTGAGTAATTGTTGACTTGGGAAAAGTTGAAGAAATGCAAATGTATCCCATTTCACAAGTGCGCAATGAAAAGTAAATCTTAGGGAACTTTTTTGTAAGAGAAAACTTCCCTTCTGGTAAGAAACTGTTATTTCGAGTACCAAATGGATGAATAACGGTTGAAATATTCCACTTTGATCATGAAATACCGAACAAAAATAGTTGAATTATTAATGTTTTTGTTGTTTCAAAAGAAGGTTTCTCATCAGTTAATCAATATTTTAATTCCATTTGATTGTGCTGCTGTAAAGCACATTTAATATTTTTCCGGTGTTTGTTGTTGAACATGAAAGAGGATTTCATCTTTAAGCAGTTTATGGAGATTTTAATCCAACTTGTTGCTGATGGCCGCAATATAAATAACATGTTTGAGAAATTCGCTAAATTGGGGTGCCAGTTACTTGCTTGTGGCAACAATTTACGCGCAGCTGAGATTACTTTTTAGCTAACGGCATTTTAAATTTGAGATTCTACAAGCCATTATTGTCTTGAGAAAGTCGAGCTGTGGCCATTTTTCATTGCCTCGACAGCGTAACCCCAAAGTCAAAAGTTGCTATGGCTCTAGACCTGGACAGTATATTGCCCATTTTTATTATGCGCAACGAAATTAAAAATTAAATTTCGCAACCAGAGTTGCCACCCCCGCGGGCTGGACGAGTAGGAGCAGCGGCAACAACACTGACTACAGCAATAAAGGCAACAACAACGGCCCCTCAAGCGTTGCGGCCACGTAACAGCGCAATTTGCGAGCCGCAAATGCCTGAGGTAATCAGTTGCCGCAAATTGTTGTTGTTGTTGTTGTTGCTGCTGTTGCTAATATTGTTGTTGTTGCTGCCGCTGTTTTCTGTTATTGGCCCAGACAGTCAACAGTCGGACTCGCACTAAGCCGCTACTGCTGCTTACTGCGTACTGCTTTCTTTAACATTTTATTATTATTATTGTGCATTATACAGGAAATTGACAAAGAAGAAACTTTTTCTGCCTCTGTTGGCTTAAAAATAGCAAATGGAAAAAAATGGGAGGCGGCCAACAGTTGAAATGCGCCTTCGAATGCCACTTGAGAATTTAATAAAAAATAGAAGAAAAGAAAGAAAGCAGAGCAATGGGAAGCGCCAAAGAGAGGGACAGGCAGAAGGATGGACGGACAGACCAACAGTGAATGGCAAAAGAAATTGTTGTGCACAAGTGCCGGTTAAATATATTTTAGACAGAGCACACGACTAACGCCTTGCTGGCTCCCCATTCGCGGCACAGTGGTCCACTTGACGAATTATATAATCAAAAAATGTGACAAATTTCAAAGCACAGCTACACAATAAAATTTTACAATAAAATAATTTAAACTTTCTGTTTTGTTACAAAAATTTTATTGGTCTACTTGACGAATTATATTTTTTACAAATTTTTACAAATTTCAAAGCACAATAAGCACAATTTTACAATAAAATAATTTAAACTTTCTGTTTTGTTACAAAAAAAAAAATATATATATATATGTATTTAAACATAACCAATCTGTTGTAAATATTAAATAAATTAAATTTTTTTACTAAAAACTTGATATACAAAAACTTGCCTGTTCGTGCCGTTAAATTTTTTTAAATATTTATTTATTTATTAATAGTTTAAAATTCTACAACGTTTAATAATATCTTGTATTGTCATTTTTTGTCTTGCTCTGTTAGGCTTATTTATTACGGTTTTAAGTTGGAGTCTATATTTCTATGTATTGTTTCAAATACTTAATGGCCGAGGAGCAGCGGGCCGGAAAAGGCCTTATAATAGAATTATATTAAAACTTAAAATAAAACAAAATAAAACTTGAAATAAAACTTAAAATAAAACTTAAAATAAATAGCTGGTAGGTTAAGTGTTTTTCAACACATGGATGATGCAGTATATATGATTAATATTTAACATATTAATACTATATTTGTTTCGATGGCTGCGTAAGAAATTGGTGGGCTAATCGTTTTGCCGTTTGCTTTTTAATGCAGCGATTTAGTTACAAAGAAATATATTAACTTTTGCTTCAACTTCAAGGTTTTATTGTGCACTATTTAAGTTTCCACACTTAAGACGTAATTTGCACAATTATGTATTGTTATATTATAATTATATTATATTATAATCGTTATATTGCTTATTATAAATGACCAGCAGATATTTGTATTTCAACAAATCTAACAAAATGTTGCACATTTTATTTTACTGATTAATTGTCAGAAACGTCGTAAATCATTTTTTAAATAGCGGAACAATTTTCTCAAAAGGAAGACATAAGCGATGGTACTTGAAATAGGAAATTGATTACAGAAAACAAAAAAGTGTTATTTAGAGCAAATAAAAGAAAAAGTAAATAAATTAAATAAGTACATACATTTGTTCAATGAGTACACATATATATGCCACTGTGCGCTGTCGCCCTTTTACGCAAAATAAATCAGCGAGTGGGCGTTGACAATGTGTGGGAGGCACTGGGTCGTTCGGCTCTTGGTTTGGATCTGGGTGGGGGGTGGTGGGCTGGGCTGGGGGTTTGAGGTAGGCACTTGAGTTGATTTATGGCAATAGCAGGTAAGGCATTTTTGCATAATACAAAACCAAATTGCTCGAGCGGCAGCCTGCAAAGCTCAAGAGATACCCAGGGCGACAGCAATTGACAGCGAGTAGATTGAGGGCATGGCAGGATGGCAGGCTGGCAGGACGAACGGCACGAGTGCGGCGGCTGAAGTTGTTTTGAAGTTTGAGCCGGAAAAAGCGCAAAACGAATCAAAGCCGCAACAAAATCAAGTGCAGTTCGTCAGAAACGAAGGGTGGGGAAGATACTCAAGCTGCCAGTCAGTCAGCCAGTCAGTCAGTTCATCAGTCAGTCAGTCATGGCTTGACATTTAGTCAATTGTCTGGCAGCAGGCGCAGCTCTTGAAGTTGAAACAATTCGTGTTTTGAGCCATATAATGCCACTGATATTTTTGGGACCAAGTGTGTGGTGGCATGTGACGCTCATTAGAACGAATTTTAATTACACACAGCAGCCAAGTGAACTTTTTCTCTGTCTCCTGCAAAATGATCCCAAACTTTGGCGAAAAAAAACACCTAGCAGAGAAATAACGAGCAGAAAGCGGACCGCAACTCAAGCTGTCGGCACGTGGCTAACAAGACAACGAAGGCGACGACAACGCGTCCTTACCTTCTTACCGGATGCTGAAAAATATTTATGGTTGTAATTAAAATAAAATGCCTGCCCAAAAGAAGGCAACACATTTTAATGAACAATAGACAAATACAATTAAACGGCATGTATGGCACAGTCAGCACAATAATTATGCAGCCCGTTTCCAGTGCTACAACTTATTAGCAATTGCGAATAGTTTTCGACATTTTTTTTATTAATTTTTTATTATTATTAGTTTCTAGTGGGACAAGAATGATTCTTATAAATTAATGCACTAGTCACAAAAATTAAATTTTCTTAGATAATAAAATCTAATGTGATTTGATTAGCTTACTTAGCATATTTTTATTAGATACATTTTATTTATACGTAAATTTAAATTAATTTCAAAAAATCCAAAAGCAGACAGAATTTAAAGCAGTTTCTAATGTTAATTCAATTGCTAAGGAAAGGATTCAACTATTGAATTAGTTTAAATTAGTTTATAATTGCTAAAGCACCTGCAAAAAATATTGAAAAAATGAAGTTTTTTCACTTGATGCTAATAAGTTTTATTACAACATCAGAGCAATCAATTTTAGAAAGCTAAGCTGGTTTCTTAGAGAAGTAAGAATAATAAATATTTAATAATTATTTCACTGACAAAAGTAGAATAATAAAATACATCTTATATATTATTTTTGAACAATAATAAAGTTGTGTTCTTTAAGTATGAGATTAGTTAAAAAACAAAAATGACAGGAAATTATTA